ACTTCAACGGCTAGATCATCAAAATTAGGTATTTAGCGAGAGATATTATCAGAACAAAAATGATACTTAATGCAAAATTTTCTAGAAAGGGGAATGAGCCATTCCAGTTTCAGAACGGGCCATTCAAACATTAGGAATGGTCATACCACAACCTAGATTAGTGTTTTTGAGTTTTTTGGGCCTTCTGAATCCATCTTGACCTGTTTAGGTGCTTTATTGAGCCCTTAGGGGCCATACATGCTACACTTCCCAACTGCAGTGCATGGCCACTAGAGAATTTGTTAACCATTGGATCATGCTGAAATTTTGATGATATCTTCTAGATACACTGATCTTTAACGTCAACGGTTGGATCGTCAAAATTAAGTCTGTAACAAGAGATATTATTAGAAAAAATGTTGCCCAATATGTTGGGCCTTCAAGGGCTTTTGTCTCGCTTTAATAGACCTTAGTCCTTGGTTTGGGTACCCCAGACGAAATTGGGTGTCTATAGCTGCCCCTCTTTACTATCCTTTAGATGGCTGGATGTTGCGTTTCCAAAGGCAAGTAAAGACGTAAACATTTCATCTGGGTCTTTTCTCTGCTTCTTTGTGCAGGCGCTTCCACGTTGTTTCTTTCGGGTAATTGGGTTTGCTGGTATCCCTGCTCTTCAGAGTAGCTGAGTGTTGGGTTGCTTACTCCATTGGGTAACTGTTAGAAAAGAATGGCTCAATCCAAAAGGGGGGGGTGAATTTGATTCTATGAAACTTAAAATTTTTCAGAGTTCTTATGATCTTTATTTCAATTTAAACTTTTCTAATATGAATTCTCAAAGAAGTTCCTTCAAAGACTTGCTAATGGGAATGAGTCCTATATGCTTTCTTGATTAATCTTTGATAAAGTTCAAAGTTAGAACACTTAATATGCAACACTTTGATTTAGTTTAAAGCAATGTTGTGCATACAAGCATATTAATCAAGATTATTCCCTTTAACACACAACGAAGATATTACTCAAAGTAAAAGATAAGGGTGAGAGAAAAATGCACAAGTCTTTTATATCCTGGTTCAGCCACTCCACATGTGGCCTACATCCAGTCCTCAATCATAACCTGACCAAGATTTGTTCCACTATCTCAATGAAGAAGTTTTACAAGCATACCACACATGCATATACTCCTACATTCAAGATAACCACTTTTTTGACCCCAAGAAAGAACTTCTTGTTGAAACCCACTACAAGAATTCCTTACCACTTGAGACACCTACTCAAGATTTACAATTATTCACAAATAATTAAAGGAACGAATTCACCTGAAAGCTGAACAAATCAGAATGTGAATTCAGAAGCAAATCTCATTCTTTCTCTCCCAAGAATGTGATGATGATGATCTCTTTCAAAGCATTTCAAAAATGTTTTACTTCTTGGTTTCACAAAGAAAACACTCCAAGAAGGTCACAAAGACTTCACAATAACATTTTTCTCTTTTTGATTATTAACTCATTCTCTGTTCTGAAGTTTCAAAGTGTAAAAACTATTTATAAAATTTTCAGAACTAGATAATCGATTATTTTAAAGGATAATTGATTATTTTGTTCTTCATGATTTCTGGAAATCACTCAAGAACATAATAATCGATTATTTTGCAGGATAATTGATTATTCTAGAGAGTACTTCCTGGGATAATCGATTATTTCACAAATAATCGATTATTACAGCAAGGCTTCCTTTTACCTGTTGCTGGAATAATCGATTATATTTAATGATAATCAATTATTTTGAGTCAGTTTTCAAAAACTCAGTTTTATATCTCAAAATAACTTTCCAAGTATTTAAATCATCATCATACTCACTCTTAGTCAAATTAGATTAAGATTAACTCATACACAAAGCACATACATGCAAAATAAGCTAAACAAATCAATACAACTTATGAGCTATCCCTATTACACATCATAATAGTCATATTTTCTTCTTGACTTTGTTTTTGACTTGTTGATGTCCTTGGTCAGCTTTGATTCTCAGAATCCACCTTTTGTTATCATCAAAACTTTCATACTCCAAGTTTGAGTTGATTCACCACTCCATGAATCTCAATAGTAACAAGGATGGCAAAATGCACCACCTGATTTTCTGTCTTTGTGTAGATGCTCCATGTCGCTTATGCTTGTCTTATGATGGTGTGATTTCTTATTCATTGCTTGCTGAGGAGTGAGTATTATTGTGTCAGCCTCTCCTGGTTGCGTGTCGTGATGATGAGTATTAAAGTGCCGGCCTCTCCAGGCCGCATGCTGTGATGATGAGTATTATTGTGTCAGCCTCTCTAGGATGCCTGCTGTGATCGTGAGTATTATTGTCCCAACCTCTCTAGGTTGCCTATTATGATGATGAGTATTATTGTGCCGTGATCAAGGTCGTACCCGATCAAATAAAAATAATGAAATGTGGTACTAGGAAGCTTTCCTAGGTCGTCTCCCAAGGACCATTCTTTTCTGTCAAAGGTTCAAACACGAAGGGGGGGTTTGGTTCAGATTTATCAGTTTAAACACAATAGAATGAAAACTAACACAACAAGTAAAATAGATTGACTCCTTGTCTGGATTGTAACTCTCTTATCCCTGGTTCACAAAATATTTCTCTGTCAACAACTTAATCCTTGTTCCATCTAAGTTAACCAACTAAGCAAAGATTAACTCAAGACTTCCCTACACGAATTAAGCAAACATATACAACATTGAACCTCTCCCCAGGATTAAGCAAACTATGGTCTTAAACGTAGCCAACCCGGATTCATTAAGCATGAAAGGATGTTGAAAGCATTTAATACAGAAATCCAATGAAGAAGAAGAAAGCGAAACAGAGATGCATATACGAATAAAACCTCAAATAGAGCTTCCAATCCGCTCAAGGAGCCAACCCCAAGGGTTTTAGCTTTCCATTAAAACGAAAATGTTGTAGATAAAATGAAGAACAACATAAACATAGACAACTAGTGAGAAGAAAAGAAAACTGAGAATTTGTATTAACTTCAATATCAAAATGCGAGTCTCCAATACAAGAAATGAAGAAAAACGTGAAAAGGAATAATAGTAGAACATAAAAACAAGAAGACAGAAGCAAAAACAGAGAAAAACCTCAAGGAAGAAGAAGAACTAAAACCTAAAACGTGGTCACATCAAGTTTGCTGCATGGTCATCCCTCCTAGGTCCCTAAAAACCCTAGAAAAGTCAAAATGGGCCCCCAATCCAAGTTTGCTCGAAAATAAAAGAAAATAAATGAAAAAATAAAATAAAACAAAATGCTGATGTGGCGCTGATGTGGTGAAATGGTGCTGACATGACATTTATCTCTTAAAGTCCAAAAATAATATCTAAGCCCAAAAATGCTTCACAATTAACCCGAAAATAATTAATAGACAAAAATTAGACCAAGTGAATTGGAATTAATTAAAATTCGAAATTACTAGCCCAATGAAGGCCAAACAGTGAAATCGTTCAATTAATAAGCAATTAAGCCCAAATCAACAATTAAAATAAGTGCAAAAAGATCAATAAATAAGGGAAAATAATGACTCATGAAATTTCCCCACACTTAGCCTTTTGCACTCTTGGGCAAAATCATGAAGCAAAGTAATCAATAAATCCAGAACAACAAAGAGAGCCACATGGAGAAAAACAAAAACAAAAACAGCAACACAGAAACAGATAGAGTTACATACTCCTCATTAAATCCTAGGAAAGGAGAGGAATAGACAACATGCAACACATAAGGATCCAAAGAAACTAGATACCTATGAACATCATCCAAGTATTTCTAAACATGGCAAGAAAATCAGTTAGTTCAAGAGGTGACTCAAAAGCAACAGAACCTCACAAGATATGCACTATATCACTGTATCTCTCAAGTGTCTAGGCTACTGTATACTCTCAGAGCACTCATGAAAAAAAAGTAATAGATAGACTTGCCAAGCCTCTAGAATTAACACCCAACACACATGCACATAAGGATCACAAGGTCTTTTCAGGGTTGTAACAAGGCCAAGGACAGTGTAGAGGATAATATATGGGATAAGTAGCTACAAACCAGAGGGACCAGAGGAGCAAACCCATAAACCTCTAATAACCTCTAGAATAATCAAATCCTCTTTCCTTTGCCTCAAACAATTTTTCTTTTCGTTTTTTGTTCTTTTGAATTTTTCTTTGAATTTTTTTAAGATTGTGAACAGTACACACGAAATTTTTTGATGAGATAAGATGAGATGCGTAGAGAAGTAAAATGTACAGCATGAGGAACCAACTAGCCAATATATATCATCCAATGAAACATACACACACCCCCCACACTTATTCAATAACTTATTTCCAAAACAATTCCAAAGCTCCAAAACTCCCTAAGGTTAAGGTAATCATGGTTTTTCACTTAAGGCTTATAATGAGCTTCAAACAAAGAAGGGGCAATAGGCTCAGCAGGGGTTATCAGAGGAGTTAATTCAAGGTAGGCTTATTTGGCTAGAGGCTTATCAGAATCAAAATGCCTTAATCCTTTCCAAACAAGCATGTGAACCAAGAAATATCAAACAGAGTCAAACCAAGGATATTTTGCAAGAAATCAAGAGGCAAAACACACAAGAAAGAACAGCGAGTGGCTCAAAACCTCACACAGGGTAAATCTGTCACATTCCATTCAACCTCTCAAACATCAAAATCAACTTGTCAAGTAGAGAAAGACAGGGATTTCAATCCATAGAATATCAAGTAACTCATATCCAAGAGTGAAGCAAGTGTGTACAGACTATCAAAACCCAGAAATCAAAGAGAAACATGCAAAGCTATACATAAAACCTAATTCAAAAATAACAAATAAACCCTAAAAGAATATAACTAAAACAGTTCCCCCCACACTTAAATCACACATTTTCCCAATGTTGCCTACACAAAAGATCAGAGAAATCAGAACAATAAACATAATTGGACATGTGCAACAAAAGTAAAGAAAGAGAAAGGGAAAGAAAACTCCCTAAGTCATGGTGGTGGGAGAGAAGTGGGGTCAAGCAGAGACATCTCCTCTACAACTACATTCAACAGGGAAGGATTGCTAAGGAAAGGTTTCAGACGGTGCTTGTTAACCTTGAAGCTCTTGTCTGTGGATTCACTTTTGATCTCTACTGTACTATAAGGGAGAACATTAGAAACAACAAAAGGTCCAATCAACTTAGAACGCAACTTACCACCCATGAGACCAAGCCTTGAATTATATAGTAAAACTTTATGCCCAACCATGAAGTCTTTTATAGCTATCAAACTATCATGGAACTTCTTGGTTTTCTCCTTATAGAACTTAGAGTTCTCATAGGCTTCCAAGCAAATCTCATCAAGGTCACTCAGTGGAACCTTTCTTTCCTCTCCAGCCTGATCAATGGAGAAGTTGTAGGTCTTCATAGCCCAGTAGGCTCGGTGCTTTATCTCCACAGGAAGATGACATGCTTTGCCAAAGATAACGATATAAGGAGACATCCCTATGGGTGCTTTGTAAGCAGTCCTATGTGCCCAGAGAGCATCCTCTAGCCTACTGCTCCAATCTTTCCTGTTGGGCTGGGCAATCTTCTCCAAGATCCTCTTGATCTCCTTATTTGAAATCTCGGCTTGCCCATTAGTTTGGGGGTGGTAGGGTGTAGAAAATCTATGAACAACCCCATACTTCCTGAGCAAGGTTTGCATGGATCTGTTACAAAAATGGGTTGCTTGATCACTAACAATTACTCTGGGTACTCCAAACCTGCAAAATATGTTAGATCTAACAAAATCCACAACAACCCGAGCATCCTTAGTTCTAGTGGATTTGGCTTTCACCCATTTTGAAACATAATCAACAGCTAGGAGAATATATGAAAAACCAAAAGAAACAAGAAAAGGACCCATGAAATCTATACCCCAAACATCAAACACCTCACAAAACAACACGGGTTGTTGAAGCATCTGCTATCTCCAAGAAAGGGATCCTCCTACTTTCTAACACTGCTCACAGGTGCTGCAAATATTCCACGCATCCTTGAAGATGGTGGGCCAATACAAACCACCATCAAGAACCTTACGAGCTGTCCTCTGAATGCCAAGATGACCACCAGGTGCATAAGAATAACAAAAGTGCAAGACTGAATCAATATCATGGTCTGGCAAACATCTCCTGATTACTTGATCACTGCACAACTTCCACAAATAGGGTTCATCCCAAACATAATGTTTAGCATCGCTCTTAAGTTTATCAATTTGAGCTCTAGATGCCAAAGGAGGGAAAATAGAAGCAACTAAATAATTTACAATGTTTGCAAACCAAGGGGTGGGGGGAAGGAACAGAAACAGTCAATAAAATGTTCATCAGGAAAATCATCCTGAATGGGAAAAGTCTTCTCATCCTTTTCTTTCTCAATCCTGCTGAGATGGTTTGCCACCAAGTTTTGTGATCCGCTTCTGTCATGGATGTCTAAGTCAAACTCTTGAAGCTAGAGCATCCATCTGATCAGCCTAGGCTTTGAGTCAGCCTTCTTCAACAAGTACTTTAGAGCTGCATGATCTATAAAAATAATGATCAAAATTTATCAAGTGCAAAAACAATAGCTAAAAGTTCCTTTTTCGTGGTCGTGTAATTTGCTTGAGCAGCATCTAATGTCCTAGAAGCGTAGTATATCACCCTAGGAAATTTGTCAACCCTCTGTGCTAAGACAACCCCCAATGCATAATTTGAAGCATCATACATCAACTCAAAGGGAATTGTCCAGTCTGGTGCTTGAATGATAGGAGTGGTGGTCAAGGCTCTCTTGAGGCAGTCAAACGCCTCCTTGTACCTGTCATCAAAATTGAAGTCCATATCCTTCTACAACAAGCTGGATAGTGGAAGGGATTTCTTGCTAAAATCCTTGATGAAGTTCTTGTAGAAACCTGCATGGCCAAGAAAAGATTGCACCTCTCACACGCAAGAGGGGTAAGGCAATTGTGCAATAATAGATATTTTTGCAGGGTCTACCTCAATGCCCCAACTAGAAATGATATGCCCTAAAACTATACCTTGCTCTACCATGAAATGACATTTCTCAAAATTAAGAACAAGGTTAGTCTCAATGAATCTATTTAGAACTCTGTCCAAACTATCCAAACATGCATCAAAAGAGGATCCATAAACAGTAAAATCATCCATAAACACCTTTATGCAATTTTCTAGAAAATCATTAAAAATACTAAGCATGCATCGCTGGAATGTGTCAGGGGCATTGCATAGGCCAAAGGGCATCCTCCTATAGGAAAAAGTGCCGAAGGGGCAGGTGAATATGGTCTTTTCTTGATCGTTAGGAGCAATGTGAATTTGAAAGTAACCAGAGAAACCATCAAGAAAACAGTAATGAGATTTACTTGCCAAATGCTCAAGCATCTGATCAATGAAGGGCAAAGGAAAATGATCCTTCCTTGTTGCTTGGTTGAGCCTCCGGTAGTCAATACAGACTCTCCCACTGCTTTGTACTCTAGTGGGTATGAGCTTATCCCTCTCATTCTTAACAATAGTGAGGCCTGTCTTCTTGGGGACCACCTGGATTGGACTCACCCACTAACTATCTGAAATAGGATACAAAAGCTAAGAAAGATGAGGAGGAGAAAAGAAAAAACTAAAAAAAAAAAAAGAATTTTTCCATTGAAGAAAAAGGTCTAGGTTCAAGAGAACCTTAACTCTTGTGCCATCCTCATTCTTTTGGTGCCAAAGAAAGTTGTCAATGGAGGATGAGCACCTTTTATAAAATCCATCAATAAATATAAAAGGCACCCAATCCCTAAGATAGATGATTTGGTGATTGAATTGCATGAGGGTTAATAACTTTTCAAAATTACTTAAAATGGTGACGCCTTTTTGGCTCTCTCCTTTCCCTAGCACTTTCATTCAACAAATTGCGTACTTAAGGATTGCATAGCTAAGTTTTAGTATTTTACTTCCCTTACTGTGGTTTCACATCTTTTTGAAGGACCAATGGAATGGAAGAGCTTAAATATTTGAGGTCAAATCCTTCTCAAGAAGGAGGGGATGATGGAGGACCATCCTCGGTGCTTCATGTGAGACCCATCACATGGTTCATGGCTAGGAGAAGGGAGAAAGATAAAAGAGATACCATGTATGGATCCATCTCCTAGGCCCAATTCGAGTAATATAGAATTTTATGGATTTATTCCAATTTTACCCTTGTACTTGTCGCCACCGGCCCGAAACGGGCTTTCGG